CACACACACACACACACACACACACACACACAAAGTCCCCATAATCATATCTAAGCTTATAATGACACTTATATTTAACACAAAATTAATCAACATAATTATGGTGCAAAGTTAGCACTACATTCTTGGAGCAAAGTTGAGCTAATTTCAGGCTGTGCAGTCATATAGGAAGGTGTCTGGTTTGGTATCTCAGGAGCAGAGGCAAGAGTCTTTAAATGGATGCTAATAAATACTGGTTCATTTGAGTTATGTGCAGGGGCGGAGCCAGAGGGGCTCCCGGGCTGCAAGTGACACTCCTATAACCTGATTGGCCACCTCAGGTGCCACCCTCAAATAATTGACAAGTGTGTGGGGATGTTGGATTTGCATTTAAATTTTGTTAAATATTGTTCTCTGTTACTGATGTGTTGTATGATTTTTTTTAGATGTGTATGTTTAAAAATGGTTGAATTATTGCCCATTTGTAAAAATTAGCTTTGGCATTAGCATTGGTAATTTGCATGTGATCATGCTTAGCTACTCCATGATCATTTTTATCTCAATATGTCTTAATATGACTGAATTATAGYATTTTAAAGTTAACTGTGGTGGCCATCTTTATTTTTTGATCAGCATTTAGAATTGGGTAAAGCTTGCTTTCACCACTAATCTTCAGTTTTGTATGTTTAAAAGTGTCTGAACAATAAGTTGGGCCTAACACTCAGCATGGTTTTATTTTTTATCATTCTTAGCTACGATCACACGAAAGCTCAGTGTTTTTGTAAAACAGCTGAAGTAAAACCATTTGGAATTAGCTGTGGTGTCCATTTTTCATGTTCAAATCCAGAGTGCTTTTCTTTATTTGCATGTGCCCACTATTAAAAACACCTTGGCCAGCCCTGTTCCAYCCCTTGCAAAAGAGCCTAGCTCTGCCACTGGTTATGTTGGTGCTACATGAACTTCCATTCACCCTCCTCTTTTGACCTAGCAAGATATTCTAGATACTGTTGRCACAGCCTTAACCAATCAGAATCATTAGAGATCTCCTGTTTGAGTTAAAGTTGACAAAATAATAAGACCCATTTAGAAGTGGGTGATAATAGGTGGTGYCACAGAAAAGCCACCCCAATAATCTTAATAAAATGATTGCATGACTTGGCAGCATACCTGTGCTGAGGATGTCCATGTTGTCTGAAAGGCCTTTGCTCATGTTGCCATCAGTGGTGGTGAAGGCTGTGTACATACATATGATGTTACAGTGCTTACTTGTCTGAATGGCCTTCATGCGGTATCGTTTGGATGAACCTAAAACAAATTAGAAACAAGACAAAATGAATAAAAAAACATGAATAGAACATTTAATCATTTATAGTTACAGTTTTTACTGTGTCCAGTGTCGCTCTCTTTTTCTGCGAGTTTCTCAAAGTCTCTTATGACAGAGCGAGCAGTCAGTTGGTGAATGATCTCCTCCCATGGCTTTTCTCCATCTTCCACGCCAACTCCACATTCGTCGACCCCCGTAGTTGAACCCTCAGGGGTCCAAAGGTGCCCCAGGTCCACAGTGACCTCCCAGGACACGGGCCTGCCGCTCAGCAGGCCGTGAATGTGGGAGCGACACTGACCTGGATGGGGCTCTTCAGGCGAGATGGCGGTGAAGAGATACTCTGGGTCTGTGAGGCTGTCCCAGTCCAGAGGAGAAGCTGGAAACAGGAGTCCATCTGAAGGGTCAGAGAGACAAGGTGGAGATGAACCCTGTTTATAAATCTCTTGTTTTTAGTGCTCTTGCGAACTCACTGGAGTCAGTGAGGCTTCTGCGGGACACCGTCTCTTGTGACGGAGGCTTTGTTTCTCCATCGCTTTCGTCCAGCCTCCCTCCCAGGGTCTGGTCAAAGGAGACCCTCTCCAGAGCTCTCCTCAGGCGATGCATCTCTAGCTCACCCTGGGGTGAGGAGAAACTCCTCGCTGCCATAGTTGAACGAGCCAGAGCTTTCTGTCTCCTACGAGACTCCTCTCCTCCATCCGGCCGCCCATCCTGATCATGTCAGAATGAAAGAAAAAGTTTTGTCACGATTATCAGACAGTGAAACTGCTGCTTCATGCTCCAAAAGGGTCACACCTTCACCTTTTTGGCTGCTTTGTTAGACGTCACGGCTGAAAGGTTTTGCTGCCATTCTGGGTCAGCCCATCGAGATAAAGATGATGGTTCTGGTTGGGGCATCTTCTCAAGACCTTGTGGCAGGGACCCTGTTTCCAACACGGGACCAGGGGAATGGGACTCCGAAAGAAACACGCCACCTGCAGAGTCCGAGTTTGAGGCGTGGATGTGGGAGTGGGAGTGGGTTTGGAGACTTCGCTCGCTGCTCAGTGAGCAGTGGGTGAGGACGTACTGCTCCTGAATGTAAGAGCTCTCCTGGATCCTCCTCCTTACATCACTGGACCAGTCCAGCTCCACGCCTGCAGTGGACCAGAAAACAGCCGTTCAGCTTCACAGAACCGGGGGGTAAACGGGTTTCACTGAGGAGGCACTGACCTGGGCTGGGGCCGGGGTCGATGTCTCTGGCGCAGGAGAACTCAGAAGAAATTTCCCTGGAAATTTCCCTCAGAGCCTCCTCCAGGTCCGTTGCATCGGCACACGCCACCACAGGCATGAGCTCCGAGGCAGGAGGGGGAGAGAGCTCATCGTTCGACTGACCGAAAACTGAACCCATGGAGTCACGGTGGAAACTTCTGCGATCCCGTCCTTCCAACTAAAAATATAAAAACTCAAACCAAATCTTACACAGGTTTGTGAAAACCTCCTAAATGCACCAGTGTGGCTCATACCTCTGTCTTCTTTGCTTTGAAYGTGGTCGTGTCGTAGAGAGTGCAATAGCCAGTCAAACAATCACCAGGATAGAGAGGAGGGATTTCATTGGGTGAAAGAAGAGCCTCCATGTTCTCGGGCAGGTACCAGTTGATACGAACATCTGTCAGGACAGGTTCAAAGGCCTTTTTCAATGATTTGATGAGCTGCAGGAGAGTTAGGGAACAGATTATGAAATTATCAAACTTAAACGGTTATTTAAACAAATTAATAGAAAGTACTGAGAAATGTTGCTTATATGAAGAACTACTTATCGTCCATTAAATAACAAAAAGGCATTTTTGTAAAGGCAGCCAAAACACAAAAACCTTATGTAGTTTCACCATCATCAGTATGATTACCCCTCAAGAAAATAATTCAAGTCTAAAAACAAAAGTGCCCATGTACTTGACTATTTGAAAAAATATTGCTTTTAAAATCCGTAAATTTCTCAGTCACGAAGCGGAAGCAACAGAGATGACTCTCAAAGTTAATAAGTTCGACGCACATCAGATGTACCGTCACTGTCAATAAATAGTAAATAAATACAAACTAAAATAAAACGTACTAAGATATGGCAAAAGATTATGCATAACYTAATTTACAATGCATGTGTCAAACTGAAGGCCCTTGGGCCAAATCTGGCCATCATTAACATTTTATCCTGTCCTAAAGGTAATACATAAACTGCGAAATAGTTTTGTGGTCTCTCTTCTTCTCATGACAGCTGTCCACATTACAAACTGAGAAAATAAAGTTTAATATTTCAGCAACCTTTTATTTTTGTGTGGAAATAGTAACAGAGAATTGACATTAATTAGTTTTTGCTGCATTCTTGTCTTCTTTTAGAGACAAATTAAATTTTAGATGAGGGTTTTTCTTTGTCTTTGTTTTACTGTTTTACTAGATTGTCATTAAAGGTATCTCTAAGAAATAACAAAAAATTGTTGATAGAATGTAAAATATAAGAAATTAATATTAATTAATGCACTTTCGTATAGATGTAATCATTTTGCTTTATCCATTAGGTTATGTATGTCTTAAACATCAAGTAAAATATTATTTGGAAAGGGTTATTTGTATTTTTATTAGAATAGTTTGTTATATAACCTTTCTCCAACAAATATTGACAAAAATTGACCCTTGGCTTGGAGCATGATTTGAATTTTTGACCCCTTACATAAATGAGTTTGACACTGTTTTACAAAGTTTGACCAAAACAGATGGAATTTTGTCCCTTCACAGCATAAGATAATTTTAGTTAATAACAAAAATTGATTTTGTTCTCATAGTTTGCAATAGTTGTATAATTCATATTTATCCACTAGGTGACAGTGCAGCACTGCTGCAGACCTTGGGCTGGAGTCTCTCCTCCTCATCCAAGAACTCTGTCATCCCTCCGGTCAGTTTGGCAACTCCCTGCAGGAGTCTCCTGCAGGCTCGAGGACCAAGGCCCAGGCCAAAACATCTGCAAAGGTCATACAGAGGAGGACTACATTTAAACGCAATGAACACACTGGGTCCTGAATAAAAACAATAAACAGCAACAAGTCTTTTTGGTTGGCCAGATGTTGTTAGCAGTGCACGAATGAGAGAAACAGAAAACTAAATTATTGTACAGCTAAGAATAGAAACTGATCTGCAGTCATTTTATAGTCATATAATCGACACATGCTCAAATTAGATGACTTAAAGGAGATGGAAGAAAAACAAACGTGCATAATTTCCACTACGACAGTCAAAATACTGTAGAGAAACTCAGTCCAACAGAGAATACTAATGAGACATAAATGGGGTTGTTGTGCATCAGTAAAGAGCCTGGAGAAAACCTGATGGGTGTGACTCGTACTGCAGAGCAGAGCACTTAACGGGATTACTGGGCGGGGCTGAGGAACCCTTCCACCCTTTCATACTCCACCCATAATGCTTCACTCTCACTTCTTACAGACTGCAGTTTGCTCACAGTCTCTCCTTTTTTCTTATATTTTCCCTCACATGTGACATCTCAGTCACGTCCTCCTGCTCCCGCTTCTTCTCACAATAAATCTGATGTCTCACACTTAATCAGCAAAGTGCAGCTTATCTAAAAGGTTGGATGAATTATTCAACATTTTATTAGTTTTTCTCCCCCTTCCACCTCCTAACCTCTTTTTTTTTTTTGCATCATCATTCCCAACATGGTCGCCCTACCTGCCGGCGCATGTGTTTCTGCGCACCAGCTCCAGCACCTGGGCCACACTGCCAATGGACCCGTCTGTGATGATGAAGACCTGACGAGGGTACGAGCGCTGCATGGGCTGCTGGTAGAGCCAAGACAGAGCCGCCAGCAGGTTGGTGCCTCGCATGTCCGCTCTCATCCTCTGGATGTACTCGCAGGCCTGCATCAGCGTCACCTGGATGAAGAGGCACACAGCGTAATACGAGCACATTTACAAATAATTTGGGATGTTGTGTGAAATGTGAATCAAAACAGAATAATAATCATAATCAGATCATAATAAATGTCAAATGTTCAAGAAATTGTAGCGTCTTCAGGAAAAAAAAAAACATGAGGTAATTTTGTGTTTGATGGCAGCAACATATGTCATAAAAGTTGGGCCAGGACCATGTTTYCCTCTTCTCTGTTGCCAACAGTCTGCAAATGCAAAAGAACTGAGGAGTTTTTGGATGAGAACGTTGTTTTGTGGGATTCTTATTGTTCAACAGTCCTGGATCTTCTTTGCTGTGTTTCCTTGCTGGATTAGGACATTGGTTGTTTTAAATTTGTTTTAACCTGTATATACTTTATTGCATTGATGATGCTTTTATAGATGTGTWTGCTGCCTAYCCCGTTGGSACTAATGCACYCCCATATAATCAGAGAGGCTGGCTTTTGAACTTTGCMCTTATAAGAGGTTGGATGCTCCTTTTTCCAGTTGTTTCTCACTCAAACTACTCACTTTTAACATCTGTTTGTTGCTCCTGGCCCAGTCTTTTTGAGATATGTTGCTACCATGTGAAACAAAATTACAG